AATTTATAAGTGATATAATAACAGAATAATATTTCTGCAGTTACTATAGATAAGTTATCTACATTTACTCACAAAATAATGTCATTTTGGGATTGAAAAATTAAATAAATATAATTATAAAGACTATAATAACCCTGAAATAAATTAAAATTGCAAAATTATCATGATTTTCATCCCAAAACGACGTCATGTTAGGATTACTGCAGATAACTTATCTGCAGTAAGTGCAGAAAAAGCGAACCCTATAATAATGATAAATTTTTCTTTAAATTTTAACCGTTGCTCTACTTAACATAATAGTTCGAATTTATTGATCACATGAACTGTGTTAGATACAAATGAGATTAAGAATTACGGATGCAAAATAATCTTTCCCACCATATAAATTCAATTAGCTTAAATAACTCATGCGAGCAAAATATTATATACGCGAAAATGTTACTTTTTAAAATCATGACTGGTGCGATTTCAGCCAGTGCACTGGTCGTATAAGTAATAAAGTGATAACATTAAGTTGTCGATCCTACGATGACTGATGACCAAGCAATAATTTATCTATTTAACTAAAGTTGGATCGATCATGAAAGGAGTTTCTTGAGAATATTGTAATTAAATTAAAAATAAAATTTTAAACTTATTTTTAGTTTTCAATATTTTAGAAAATAAATTCAGAATTAATAAAGCTAGAAATTAATTTTAAGTTTTTAATAAAAAGACGTAGCTAGGACTCGACTTTCCCAATGGTTTCCTAACGAATCTACATATTCTTATGATTATATCCAAGATCAAGTTATTAACAGTTCTTTCTATATTTGATCAAATTCCAATTCCTTGGTAATCTAATCTTTTATTTCACTCCAAAGCCTAATCTCTTAGTACTTTTTCATAAAATAAACATTAACGCAATAGCCTACAGTTATAGAATTCATAAGTCTATCCTAGATGATACAAATTCCAGCAATCAATCAATCGGAATCGATACACCAATATCTCTATTGTCATGCACGACTCTAATGTTCATTCAAGATTGGCCAGATCATAAACAAGACTAGGAATTTTAAACAGATTAATTGCATAACTAAAATCAAAAATATAAATCGTAAGAGAAGCAAATAGCGTTTAAGAACCCATTGATTTCGTCTCGCCCTAACTACTTAAAGAAAATGCCTGACATAGTCAGGAAAACAAGAACAATAGATGAAAAGAAACTAAAATTCATAAATGAAATAAAACCCAGTCTCCATGTGAAGCTTTGACTGTTCCTCCGCTCCTCTGCCTTCTTTTCTTCGCGTCTCCTGAATTAATTTTCAAAGCCTTCTTCGTGTTGTATTTAAAGAATTAAATGGGCTTTAATTTTGGACCAACTTGCTGAGGAGCTCGTTGAAGCGAGCTGCTCAGCGAGACAATTTCTTCTCCTCGCTCACTTGCTCGCTGAAGCGAGCAGTGGAGCGAGCTTGATTGTGCTGCTGGTTTACTTGCTCGCTGAAGCGAGCAGTCGAGCGAGTGTGACCAAATAATTTATATTTATTTATTTCCTTATTTTCGCTTGATATTCATCAGATTGCAACTGTCTTCTCATATTTATCAGGTTAGTAATTTGTTATTCTAGTATGAAACAACCTGAAACAACAACAAGGTTAGGATCTTATCTATTCGTTGACAATTTACTATCTTTTATTATTTTATGAATTAACACTATATTTTTAATTATTTTAATTATTATTTGAACTATATTTAACAATAAAATATAATGTCTTTGAACACTTATCAATGACCATAATGCAACTTTGAAAAATAAGATAAAATGAGTAGGGGTAGTTTCAATTCTAAAGACAAATAAACTAGTCAATTTACTGAAAATTTATAATAAAATTATTATTCGTTTATTAGTAAAAGATTCTTAAATCTAAACTTTGTCATGAGTTATGATGAGTGAAAGGTTAATAAGATAAATACGGCTTGATTGTTTAAAAGGAAAATTCTCAATTTTTTTTTTTTTTTTTTTTATAACAAAATTCTCAAATTTTATTCTCTCAATTAGAGGGAGATTATTCCACGTCTCCCACTTTGCCATACTTCAACTTACATGAAACAATTTGTTGTTTCTTCTTGACTTTGGGAGTTTCTTCCAATTGGGTTTTATGGATTAAACATTTGTTTTGTTATGTTATGTTGTTGTTGTTTTTTTTTGAAAATATTTCATCGATTCATCATTATGCAACTAGTTCGATTCGGGACGGTTCAGGATTGAGACTTTAAACCCTTCCCAAAAGTGGTACTGGAAAAGATTTATGTTGTGTTTTGATACTAGTTCTTTTTTTTTTAAGAAAGCTTAATAACAAAAAAAATTATGTTATGTAATTAACTAATTAAGCCCAAACTTTTCATTTTCTTCTCAAATAGCATAGACCAAACATTGTTTTTTAGTTTATTAAAGAACTTAATATTTTCAGAACAAAAAAATTTCTGTACTTGGGCAGCATAACTTTTCTGATGTCGATACTTACGTCACTCTCTATTAAATATTTTCTCATCTTTGGTCTTGTTCGCAAGAAACCTAATATCTTTGTCGATGCGTATGGCTTATGCACAGATCGTGAAGAACACTATTCGTTTTCTTTTGGAAAATCACCAGAAAACATTAAATAGAATATTTATCCCAACTAGGAAAAAGAATCTTTTTTAAAAATACCACTTTGTTCTTTCATTCTTTATATTTTTATGAGCAATTTCTTATATGAAATTCTCTCTTTATTTTTTCTTACAACGCTAAATCCGGATTAGAAATAATTCAAGTATTTTGGAGCCATCAGCCAATAATTCTAACAGTTTTATTTTTAATAATTATCTTCAATAATACTTGAAAAGATAGGGACAAGGAGAAGGATTCAAAAACAATAATCTATGAAATCCTCTAGGATTTCTCTCACACTACGAGCACTCAGAATTTTTCCTCCAGCAATCGTTAGAAAAATAAAATAAAAATAAATCCTTAACAATGTATATTTTGTGTTGTACCGATATTGACACCAACACCGACACGGGATACGAGACATGACCGACACGATATGCTGACACGTTAGTTCTAAAAAATTTAAGAATTTGACACGGTAGAAAATGTTTTAATATTAAATAATATTTTTAGTATATATAATATATTTTACATTTAATACCTATAACAACTCATAATAAGTCATATAATCAATTAAATATTCAAATTTCATAATATAAATATAAAGAAAAAAGAATTTTTTATGTTTTGTTAATTTTTTCGGTCAAATTTTATACAGAAAACACTTTATTTATAAATTAATTTTTTATGTTTAATTGAAAAAATAAAATAAAATTTGGATCTAAAAACAAAAAATATCAAAAAACATTAATCGCATGTCAAACACGTATGGGTGACACGCATTTTTCCTAGACAAAAGCGTGTCCATACATCAGTGTGTATATCCATGGGTGATCCAAAAAAATGACAAGACCCATTTATAACATTGGCAGCATTCTGGACTGGGCCTGTTCAGACCCAGGAAGTGTCGTTGACCCAAAAACATTGTTGGCAGGAATTGGCCATGGGCCTGTGTGCATGTCAAGGAAAGGCTAGCTTTTATTCAGAAAAATAGTAGCTATTTTTATAACATGTTTGACATTTCTCTTTTTTAAGTTAAAAGCATTTTTAAGTTAAAGTTGAAAAAAAAAAAAGCGTTTTAAAAATAAGTTATAAGCTGCTTGATGATTATATAAAAATTTTAGCTTAAAAGTTATTCGTTTCCAAAAAAAACATACACTTAAAAAAATTGATACAAATAAAAAAAAAATTCCCCCTAAGAGCTTTTAGCTTTTGACTTTTTTTTTATTAAAAAATAAAAATCTTTTTATTATAAGAATTTTTGTAAAAATCTATTTGACTTAACTTTTACTTATAAAGAGAAGCTAAAAAGAAAAATATCAAACAGGCACTTATTTGCATGAAAAAGGCCAAACCTAACAAAAATAGAAAAACTAAACGGACAAAATACGAGATTAAAGTAAACAGATGAAGCGACTCCATGGGTATTATAAGATGTATAGTCTCTTAAAATAATTGTTGTATTCCCCAACCAATATGCACAACTTGTGCATATTGGTTGAATTATTCAATCTTCAGAGAATCAAGCCAAAAGTCTAGTCAATAAATGTGATCGTCTAGCATCAACACCATGAGTAATGAACATGAAAATTAACTCAAGGTCATCTCTTTCTGGGACCAAGCCAATTCTAATCCCTTTGATACGGACTACAATCTCCCAAAAACTACTAATTATCTTACAAGACAATCACATATATCCCAACGAAAAAAGCAAGCTAATTTTTTGTTTGAAAAACTCATACTTAAAAACTTTTTAAAAGAACATTTTTAAATAAATAATTTTTTTTTTTCAAAAAAAAAAAAAAAATCGTTACGGAATATTTACTTAACACGAAGAAACTCATGCCTTTGCGTTTGGATATTTCTTCTGTCACTCAAAATCCTTTTTTGGCCATACTTAAATCCAAAACAAAACTTTTTACCAAAAAAAAAAATCCAAAACAAAAAAGATACTGACTGTGACTGCTACTCAACATTGTGATTACAATTTGGTGAAAATATATGGAAGAGCTTCTGGTTAGTATTTTAGATGTTGATTTCAAATGAGGCAATAATAGCACTCGTTAATAATATAAACTGCACAAACAGCTGCCTCATGATCTGTGTGTATATGGAAATGGATACGGCAAGATTGTCTCCATTGTTTGAACCATCAAATGTGTGAAATTCCTCCAATCATTATCATCACCATAAACTACTAAAAATATTAACAAAATTGACCTGCTACGTAGTTACCTACATTTGAAATAAAGGACTATGTTTTAAAAGTATGTTGCATATACCAATAAAAATCACGTGCGTCCAGTGAATGCAAGAAATTATATTTTTCTTATTGATATTTGTAATGTATATGACAAAGAACCTCCCAAAAACAAAAACAAAAAATGTAACAGGCAATGAATCAATCACCCAAGAAAAACGACAATAGGTAACATCAAAAAAATTACTAGGATAGGCCGTATACATTCTAGTAAAGCAGCTAAAGAGTAAATACAAGAAAAACAACAGAATCCAGGAAACGGAGAAAGCAAATGTGCAGCAGAATCCAGAGTCCATATATGGTCACATCCAAGGTTGTACTTTGGCTGTGAAATTCTTATCTAACAAAGCTCATTTGTAGGTTCCCATACCTACACCTGTCTCACCACCACCACCATATGGTTGGAACTTTTCCCTGGCACTTGAGTAGTTGACATAGAAGAATTCAGAAACTATGAGTGTGAAGAAAATGAAAGCAGCACCAGCACCAAAAACTCCCTTCCTAACTGTCTCGCAAGAAGGTGGATTCTCCACAAAGAGGGTCCTGTACTTGGTGTGATATGCATTTTCCACTGATCCAGCCAACAAGCACACCTCAGCTATGAAGAAGAATACCCTGCAAGAAAGAGTTGCAAAACAAGTCCTATAAGGATACAAAATAAGCAATAAATATTCGGTTTAGTTACTTGTATGGAAATTCTTTATGTCATTATTGCTGATTCAAGTGAAGAGTTATAATATACCAGCAGATTATGAAAAAGATAACTGCACATGCCCTTGAGCCTCCGGGGCTTAGAGGCTTTCCGCAACAGAAGCATCGACTTGCCACCATTATGAGGACTTGACTAACCATGAGGAACAGAAATGAACCAACACCAAAGCCAGTTGCTATGTCCGAGTCATATACACAGTAATTATAATTCACATCCCTGTCCTGAACAATCCTGGCCTGCATATAGATATTTTGTTAAGTAGGAGGTAAGAACTCAATTTATTGCATCCTAAGCATAAAAAAGTCACTTTAGCATTGAGGGATTCAGATAATTTACAAGAGATTATATGTTCAAATCTCAAAGGAGAAAAAAAAGCCACTTTATTTCTTCAACCTTAAGAATTATGATTATAGATCTCCTAAATCTAATCACAGGATTACCATCACATCTTCACAAGCAATTAGTGCTAAATTTTAAAAAAAAAAAAACTAGATAAGTCATTTGTTTGGTAAATACTAAAAATTCTTCACTTGAACTGAGTTAATCAACCAGGATTGAAAAAACTTTGACTACAACCACATAACACGCAAGGACATATCTGAAGCATAAGGGCACCTCTGAAGTAAATTAGTAAACAGATTAACAAGTTCTCCTGGTAGAATTTCGTTGACAGAATTATGAATTGAACTATTTGCCGAATTTGATATATGTTCAAATAAAAAAGGTTTAAAGCAATCTTAAGGCCTGCTCATCTCATCTGAATCTCACACAGACAGAAAGCCAAAGAAAAAAAAGGAGAGATCTAACATTTCAAATCACAGAGCATTTCTTCTTGTAATAAACAGGACATTTACATGTAAACACAGATCTGGAGTTCTATTTTGCAAATATAGCCAAAGAAATCACAATCCTATTATTTTTAATGATGAACTTCATGACCCAGGTGAGAAAAATTCAAGATTTGGAATTTCTTGGAATGCAAACCGCCAAGGAACAAACAAAGACACATAAAAACAAAAATATTGCAGATATGTAAAGTTGATTCAAATCACAACGAGTTTAATAGAAAGAACACATTTTTTAACAATAAACGGATTTGGGTATGCCCACACCAGAAGAAATTGGGAGTTCAGCAAAGAAACAGAGGGCGAGGTTCTTTGAAGCCTTTATGCTAACACATGATAAACCCAACATTAAATTCCCAAGCTTTAATTCACACAATGAAAAACAGAAGGTTAAAGATTCAAGCTTTACCCACATTTTCTCATTTTATCAGCAATCAATGAAAAAAAAGAAGAAGATACATGCTCATATCTCCTGCAATGATTGTATGATTCTTCTCAAACCCATAACTAAAAACATAATTGAAATCACACCCAGATTCTTATTTTGGATATAGAGAAGAAAAGTGAGATGATGATAGTGATGTGAATACTCACAGTGCTTCTTCTCTGCTCAGCAGCCACGGCAAGTCCAAAAGCAATCAAGTCAAGAACGAAGACAGTGACGAGTAACAGCTTGGAAGCCATGAATGTGGTTGGAAACTAAGAAGAGAATGTAATTGGATCTGCTCTCTCTCTCTCTCTCTCTCTCTCTCTCTCTCTCTGTGTGTGTGTGTGAAAGAATGCTCTGTGTTGTATTCTGTTGTGTCCCTTCACTGTTCTTTGCAACTAAAAAAAAAAAGAAAAAGCAAGCTGGATCCCTGAGTATGCAAGTTAAGCACTAGTAAATTACCAAACAAGACAAAAAAAATGATATTTATATGTTCAAGTTGAAAAAAATAAAAATAAAATGAAAAAGACATGGCACCAGTTTACTTACCTAACCTTTGGGATTACTTACCTAACACAGAGATTACTTACCTGCTAACACAGAGATTACTTACCTAACCTTTGGGATTTAAACAACTAGAATGATAAGCCCCACACCATTATTGTATAGTGTAAGGTGATACATTTTAATTTTAACAAGGCATCTTGTACCTTACTTCTTTATCCATATGCTCGTAATTAGAATATGTGAAAGAATTAAAAAATGAATATAAAAAAAAAGTAGAATAAATTATTATTATTATTATTATTTTGATTTATATATAGAGGTAAATCAAGATGGATTTGGATTTTTTTTTCATGATTTAATTTGAAGATCAAATTGAATTTTAATTATAAATTTTCTAAATAAGATGTTTGTAAGCTTTGTAATTTTCAAAATTCCCTTTAAGTGAAAGGATATTGTAATAATTAATTAGTGTTACTATTAATGTTATTATCAATTAATTTCACCGTTACATTGATTATTTTGATCCAACAGTTATATTTATTTTCATCTTTGTATAGTTACGATTCTCCATATTCAATGTGAAAACATATGAAAAATCATAATCATATAAAGGTAAAAATAAATATAAAATATTAAAGATGGAGAATCATAATCATACAAAGATAGAAATAAATATAACCGTTATATTAAAATAATAATCTAACAGTGAAATTGATTAGTAATAATATTGATAATAATACTAATTAATTGTTACAATATTTGTTTATAGTGATTGCTAGATTAGAATCTAATAAATTAGATGAAAATGGCGTATTTGGGGGATGTTAATGTCCTTGATTTATGTATCAAAAAAAAGAAAAATATCCTTGATTTGGGTTAGGTGGGAAGTCGGTGAGATAGATGAATAAAGTTGTTAGAAGAATTGAAGAAGGGGTAGTATGGTAATATAGCGAGCAGGTGACAGTGACGGGGTAGTTGTCGGTGATGGATTTACGTAAAGGTGAAGGATCGAAGGACTTGCATCAGAATCAGATGCTTCCGCAACACAAAGTTAATCAGCTTTTTTTTTTTTTTTTTTTTATTGTTCCAATTACTTCGAAATTCGAATAGAAGACTCAGATTAGACCACACGACACGACCAAGAATCTATTTTCAGGAAGAATACAGCGATTAATATTTTTTTAACATATTTTCTATTATTAGATAAAATGTTGGCTCTATTATATTCTTTTAGCATATTCTATATTTTTTTCTTACTTTAATATTATTTGATCAGAATATCATGGGTAGAGAAAAAAAAATTTTAATCCAATGATATTAAAAATAAGTAGGTAATGTGGTAAAAAAAAAGAAAAAAGTTTAAAATCCTCCGGTGCTATCACATTGAATCATTTATACCCTTATATATTTTTTTTTTTTTGATAACAATATATTTTTTTAATGAGATAAGTTATACTTATAATCATTTTTTCTACAACCTCTTACAACCATATCTTAACACCGTTGATTTCCGTCAATCAACGGTTATCATTTATTGTGAATTAATAATTAATTAATGCGTTTAATTTGCGAAAATCATAACCGTTGATTGGTGGAAATCAACGGTGTTAAGATATGGTTGTAAGATGTTGTACAAAAAAAAAGATTGTAATTATAATCTTCCTCTTTTTTAATTACTTAATCTCCCGTGATTTTTTCTATCCACCTCTTATTTAATATTGTTAGAAACTTGACTAAATATACCTACTTTATTCTTCTTAGATGAAGAAAATAAAGTGATAAAAAGAAAAAAAAATAAGATCAAGTATTATGTAAATTTTGAATATTTAATAAAAGACTAAAAGAAAAAAAGATCAAATGTGAGTAAATAAAAAAATAGAATAAGGACAAAAAATAAATAAATAAGATCAAATATATTAAAAATCACAACAGTAACAGAAAATAATTGAAATGAAAATAATATACCGAATACAAAAAATAAAAGAAAAAATAAGTTAAAAATACAATAAAAAAATCACAGTTACGAATTTTCAATATATTTGATTTTTTATTTTTATTTTATTTTTATCTTTGATCTATTTTATTCTTTTTATTTAGATATGTTTTGTCTTTTTTATATCTCTATTTTATTCTATCTTTTTTTTTTTAATTTTTTTTAGGAAAATCTTTAATAGATGGGGTGGCACAAGACTAAAAAAGAAGAAAAATAAAATCAGAATAAAATAGACCAAAAAATTAAAAAAAAATAGAAATAGAAAAAAGATGAAATATATCTAAATAAAAAAGAATGAAATAGTTCAAGGACAAAAAAGAAAAAAGTAAAAGAAGAAAAAAATCAAATATATTGTAATTTCGTAATTGTAAATTTTTTTTTTCAAATTTTTTTCTTTTTTTAATCTTAATTTTTCTTCTATTTTTCGTCTTCAGTATATTTTTGTTCATTTGGACAAATTTTATTTTAGTTTTTCTGTCACTGTTGTGATTTTTAACATATTTGACCTTATTTTTTCTTCTCTTTTTTATTTAGACACATTTAATTTTTTTTCCTTTTTTTTATTGTATTAAGTGTTCTAAGTTTTCATAACATTTGGTCTTCTATAAAAAAATATATATATTCTTAAAAACAATATCTTTACTATACTTTTTTTTGTAGATACGTGATTTTATATTTATTTAAATTTTTTATATTTTTAAAATTCATAAAATATTTATTTTTAAATTTCATATTGTTTACTAAAAACAAATTCATATTAAAATTTGTTCTTCCATTTTAAATCTAAATATCTTATGATATAAGAATAATTACTTTTAATTTTTTTTTTACATTAGTTTTTTAAATTTCATTTACATATGTTCTCAAATAAAATTTTATAAACTTATTTTTATACATTAAAATTGGTTCATTTAATCAAGTATCAATTGTTGCATTCTTATATATTAAATTAAACTACATTATCTTAAGAGTGTTTATAATACCCCTAACCTGTAAATAATTGAATTGTGAATTGATTAATGAATTAATCATGATAATTGTGGTGTATTTAGGTTGAGAATCTAATTAGGTAAAAATAAAGCAATTTTGGAAAAGTGCAAATAATGTGAGTTTTGGGATATAATTACTAGTAGCAAAAGTTGCTCGAAACTTGAAAATAATTGAATGAAGCATTATGAAATAATTTTAGTGAGAGTCTAGAATCAAGTTAGATGAATTAAGTTGATGAAAGGACATAACTGAAATTACGCTTAAAGTTAGATGAATTAAAGTAAACAAGATAATTAGTTAAAAATATCTAAAGTGAAGTCATTTTACTCATCTTCTGCATCGTTCTTTTCCTCTGGTTGTGGCCACTATTGACTTCAAGCTTGGATTTCTATCTTGTTAAATAGTCATCCAATCATAGAACCTTGAACATGAAATGTGTTGAGAATCACTAGATAAAGATAACCTATAATTCACAAAGTATTGAAAGTGAGTGTGTAGAGAGAAAAATGGAAGGGGAGGTGCCGATTTTCAAGAGTTTTTGAGCAAAGGAGATTGACTTGATCTCATCCAGGGATTGGAGAATACTCCTAGAGGCTTTGTGAAGTCATTTGAGGTAAGAAAATCTATATTCCTCTAAGTTTTCATAATGGGTAACGTTTTGTTGTCATTGTGAATATTTTCATGGATGACAGTGTTAGGATGATGTGTAGCCTGGGTTCCTTTGGAAAAGTATGCTTAGGGACTAAAATAATCGGTAGAAATGTTATCAAATCCTCCTTTGGACAATGGTTGGGTTTTTTTTCAAAAATCACAAGGGTTTTATTGTGATTTATTGCAATGCAAGTAATTGGCTATTTATGATTGATATTGCTAGTTGTCATTGAATTCTAGGAGAGATTCAAGTGATGAAAAAAAGAGCAAGCAACTATTGGATCATGCAATAGAGATTTACACTTGAATTTTCATTGAATCAAGCTTAGGTGTTGCTTATAGTTGGTGGCGGAATACTTTGGATTTTGGTTGGAAAGCTACTGCAGGTAAATTTTCGGACCTCGAGATTTATCTTGTGCTTGTTCCACCATACCATGAAGTAGTGGTTTATGTGGTATATGTAATTGCATATATTTGATATGATGCATTGGATGTATATGTATGCTATGTGATTACACTTGGTATGTATCAAGGGTGTTTCCTTATTGCGGTATGAGCATTCCTGCGAAGGTGTGTTGACCTGAGAAATGTCTTGGATGAGCATTATTTGCATAACATGGATATGTATATGTTGCATCATATGATTTATTGCTTTTATGCTGAAGTGAACTTGGGGGTGGAGAAATCTCCAAGGACCCCTAGTTTACTGAGATATATATGTATATCTCATCCCGCGTTATGAGAATTTTAAGTGCAGGTACTGACGGTGCAAGAGCATCACAGGGTATGAGACCAGGCTAGAGTGCCATGACATTGTATGCTTGTAAGATTTATTTTGACGTATAGATTTGTGTCTCACATGATGTGTTATATTTGGGAGCATATGGGATTTCTATGCCTCTTTTGATTATGCCTACGTATATATATTAGAGACACATATATAGGTTGTTAACTTAAGTATTATTTTGCCAAATAATATATGATGTATTTATATTCATTTGGAAGACTTGTATATGGATTTACATATGTATATTTACATGACATGTAATGGACCTGATGTTATTTCCATTTGTTATAACTTGAAATATATGTTAACGGATGTAAGTGCACCTAGGTTTGTTGGGTCTTTGGTTGACATTCCATGTCTATCAGGATGTGTAACACCCCGTGTATACCCAGTTTGTTATCATGTCATCGTATTAAGCGTTGCTTAATTAAAATGCGGAATTAACTTTTTCTTTTCAATTAT